ACATGCTTCATCAAACACCATTTCATCTGGGAAAAAACAGAATCATGTATTTCTAGAATACCAAAATGCTCCATTCCCACATTTTCCAAAGGAAACATTCTGATTTCAAAATGACTGTTTAGAACAGAAGCCACTGCTTCATTGTATGAAAATTTATTTTTAAAAATGAAGTATCAAAATGCATTATTTCACTGAGTTTGAAACAAGAAAGCTGGATTGACTTCGCTGTTTTATTATTCATTCCAGATATTGGATTTCATTTCAGTATTGGGAAATATGAAAATTCAGACTTTCCTCATGCTAGTAGGTGACTGAGAGCATGGAACAGCATTAACAACTGGAATCTGAGGACCCAGAACCAATGTAATACAAAATCATCTCTGGGATTTCCATAATTTTTATGTTTTGATATGAATCTGTGATACTGCTGCCCGTTATTCTTTGAATCTATTTTCTGTTTACTTGCTCGTCATACAGATTTGACAGTTCTGCCAGCCTAGGTGGTAACTGTTGCGTGACCAGTAGTCATCTGCTGCCCCATTTCTTTAGACTGCGATCTGCTGCCACACACCTAGAAAAATGGCAACTGAACACATGCAATCGATTATACATATACAGTAGGTCTTGAGGCAGATCTAAAAAAGACCTATTCATTCTCTCATTCTTCCTTTTAATTTACAAACTAGTTCTCACATCTTCCTTTCACTTTCTTCTGTTTTCTCTTAATCGTCTAGATATGTTAGCAACGCATTAAATGTTCTCTGCCTTTTTAGATTTTCATTAACAGAGAGCTATTCTGTAGGAAAACCTGTATCCCCTGGTAAAGGTACAAGACTGCTCACTGAAAGAAAGATGTTCTCCCTGTAGATACAATAGTTCAGCTGTGCAAGTGTTGGCAGGAATATTTATTACATACTCTGAATTACTAAACACTGAATACTGTGATTCTTTGACACGTGATAGAAGAAAGCATTAAGTGGGTATGAGAAACCTGTATAAAAACTAGGACAAAGACAAATTTACTTCACAGAGATTTCAACTATTTAAACTGAGTCAGTAAGCAGTATAAAAAATTATTTTTACTTGGTTTTTTACTCTTCATAAAATTATTATTTCATTGTCCTTGAGGCTGATGCAACCCAAATGAAATGTAGAAAACAGGACCCTGAAGTTATTTTTATTTGGAACTCAATTTGCCAACTGAAAACACCAGGAACCATCAAAAAAACACTGTAGCAGCCTTCCATAAATTGTGGTAAACTTCTACACTGTCACATACGGTAACTCTGAGGGCTTTCTCAAAGGCCCATGTGGGGTATGAAGATCCAATTCAATAATAATAAATATAAAAGTATAAGCATGACCAGAATGTAATGAAGACAACCATTATCTTCAGATAAGATTCAGATAAACTCATCCAAAAAATTTGGTATCCTTTTTTTCCTCAAGTACTTTCTGGTTTTAATTCACACAAATTGTGATATTCTATAGGAAGTATGGAAAAAAACTGCTGATGATTTCTTGTGGTGGTACCTCGCTATGAATAACTACCGTCTGAAGACAATAAATGAAAATACATTAAGTTGACCAAAATCCATCAGGAACCCTCACCAAGCTTTTACTGCCAGGTGAAAGACACCAGGGAGAAACAACACTCTAAGAGAAGGTACAGACAGCCCCTGGTTACCAGTGACACTTAACATGAAGGGGCAAGGAATGAGAACTAATGGCATGGAAGCAGAGAGCAGAAAAGGGCCAGATGCTGAAGGGTATTCATGCTCCTCCTTTCCACTGAAATCAAGAGGAATTTGAAAGTCTAAATCCTTCAGAGAAAGCAGTTCTTAAAACAAATAAAAGTATGAGAAAAAAGGCCACATTAAGCTAGACTACATAAAGATGTGCTGAATTTTTGTTTAATAAATTTTCTCTTGCTTATGAATGCTTTTGTTTCTGCTTCAAAACTCCTAGCAGCCTTCTCAACAAATCTGAGATGCAAGGGATTAGGAGCTACACTGGATGCACTCAGTAATAGCCTACGCCCACAGAATTCAGGTATCCCATGGTGGAACAGTAAAAGGTCTGTTAAATATGAACTCCTAAATTAGCATTTAATTCAACTGTGATGTCAAATAGTTTTATCTTTCAATGAATCAGACTAATCAGCTGATTCTAAAATATCCACTGTTTATCTTGATTATACCCCATATTTAACTCCTAGCTTTTTGTTCTGAAAACATTTTCCTTTTCATTTATCTTGGCTACAGCTACATTAAGCAGTTTGTTGGTTTTCCTTCTGTTTGGATTTCATATTGACATTGTTACCTTCCGTCTGGGAATACATTCAGCTTCATTAAACTTGTGCAGATCTGAAATCTTTCAGTAGCTTGTGTACTGTGCTGATTTTTCACTCTTGGATCCACACTTAATGCTATTTGGAGCATAAGACCTTGAGAAGGTAATGCTTTGTGTTTATTCTTATCTTCTCTTTCCACCTAATATCAAAAGCAGCCAACTGGGGATAGAAGGTTTTCATATTTCATTTTCATCCATCTACAGTTGCCTCATTTATAAATGAG